TCTTCATGATCTAGAAACAGGATCTGGCTGGAAAAATACCTGCTCCTGGGCCTGGGCCAGGGCATTCCTGCCTTGCATGAACTGGCTGTAAAGATAGAATGAATAGGCCAGGTGTGGTGGCTCACGTCTATAATCCCAGCACTTTGGGAGACCGAGGCAGACGGATCATTTGAGGTCAGGAGTTCGAAACCAGCCTGGGCCAACATAGCGAAACTCCATCTCTACTAAAAATACAAAAATTAGCCAGATGTGGTGGTGGGCACCTGTAGTCCCTGCTACTCGGGAGGCTGAGGCAGGAGAATCACTTGAACCCAGGAGGTGGAGGTTGCAGTGAGCCAAGATCACGCCACTGCACTCCAGCCTGGGTGCCAGAGAGAGACACCATCTCAAAAGAAAAAAAAAAAAAAAGACAGAGTGAATCTTTACTCAGTGTGGCAACCATGGGCTTGATCCATCTGGTGCAGCAGTCTTGGCTGCCCACCAATCAGAAGTTAGCCGAGTCTTGACTATTAGACTGTTGCACATCTGCCTCGGGTGAACTTTTCAGGCAAGAAGCCTATCAGAGCACCAACAAGGGCAAAGAGCTGGAACATCAGGGAGTCTCAGAACAGGCTGCATGACTGTTCTACACGCCTGCCACTGTCTGTATGTGTGACAGAATTTGGTCTGTGACTTGGGTCTTTATGACCTGAATTAGGCATGAGGGAGAAGTTAAACCTTACCCAACCACTAACTACTAGCAGCCAACAATATCTGCCAAAACAGCCTAACAGCAGTGTATTCAAGCTGCATTACAGCTATCTGGAGCAATTATTATTCACACTGTAATAATGACAGAAGCAGTTTGGTACAAAAGTCACCCAACTCAAGTCAGGTGGGCCCATACACAAGACCTATCTCTGCCATCAGTCAGTTGGTAACATCAGTTAATTTATTTTTCTATACTTTAGTTGACTCACCTGTAAAAGGAGGCCAAGCAGGGGTTTTGTGAGGAATAAATGAATTATAATATATGTAAAAACAAAGCACATGCTGTGGACTGAAACAAACTTCAGCTATTGTTATTGTCATTCATGCCTATACTGGCCTGCAGTAAGCCCTCCCAATCCCTATTATCAAACTGCCTTGGAAAAGCTGTCTAGATTTTGCAAGCACATACCTCACTTCTGCTCTGACGGTGTGCACTGTCATTTTCTTTCTTTTTTTTAAGACAGTGTCTTGCTCTGTTACTCAGGCTGGAGTGCAGTGGCTCACTATCAGCTCACTGCAACCCGCACCTCCCGAATTCAAGCAATTCTGGTGCCTCAGCCTCACAAAGTAGCTGGGACTTCAGGTTGTGTGCCACCACACCTGGCTAATTTTTGTTTTAGTAGAGACAGGCTTTCACCATGTTGCCCAGGCTGGTCTCAAACTCCTGGCCTGAAGCAATCCACCCACCTCGGCATCCCTAAATCCTGGGATTACAGGCATGAACCACCACACCCAGCCTGAACTGTCATTTTCTGTAGCTTACTTCCCCCACACTCACATCTCCATGTAACCCTTAAGTTAAAGGAGAACAAGGAAGCCCTGTGTTCATTACCTCGTCCCTAGGGGCCTAGCATAGAACTTTGAACCCATAAAGTGTTGAGTGACCACTCCCCTGTAATCTCTGCCTTCTTAGTGTCCATTAGCCAACACCCTAAATAAAATCTAAATGAATATCAGAGTAGATACAAAAATAAAATAAGATGATCTGGAGATTATCCTGATGCAGATGGGTAATGGCCACTAGTAAGTTAAGATTTGGGGGATTCCTCATACTCTGCCAAATCCTATACTACAGACTTTACACTTATCATCACATGTAATTTTCACAGTAACCTTAAGAAGCACCCATTCAACAGTTGAGGTACAATGAGGTAATAGAGTAAGTAACTCAGCCAGTCACACCAGCCCTCATTGTCCAGATTTCCCAATTGAAACTGAGGTCTGAGTCCAAAGCCCAGGCTCTTTTATGGGTTTATGGGTTATTGTTCATGATGGTCCTCAGTTAAAAGTCCTCAAAATGTCCATCTCCAACCTCAACTTCTCCCGACTTAAATGGTGACTTGCCATTTCCATTTAATTTATAATATGCATCTCTAATGTAACAAAACCAAGAAACTTGGGTTTTGCTCACCAAATGTCTTCTTCCTATCAGCCTCACACTTCACTTCAGTCAGTGCAATCATCATCTACCCAGTGGCTCGGGCCAGAAACCACAGTCTGTCTCATTCCCACATCCCACTTGTAATTCTTGCTCAAATCCAGTTCTACCTCTGAAATATACCCAGAAGCCAACGACGTCCCACGGTACTCACTCCTACAGCCACAGCCTAAATGAAGGTACCATGCACTCTCCTCCTGGGACTACAGCAACAGCAGATTGCCAGGATTTGAGCTCCATTGGGAAAGGATTTATGTTCACTGCTGAAGCCAAGAACACTGCCTGCCCCTAAGAGGCAACTATCCACTGCATGACCAGCTGGAACTCCTTTCCCCACCTCCACTCTAGCCCCTGTTACAGTCCAGTCTTCACAATACCCCAAGAATCTTTTAACTTGCATCAAACCACAGCTCACCCCTGCTCAAAATCCTCCCACAGCCTCTCACTGCAACCAGAATTAAATCCAAAGTCCAAAGGCAGCTGACAGGTTCTGGCCATGTCTGGTCCTGCCCTTCTCTCTGACCTCATCTAGGTCACCAGCCACCCTAGACTCCCCTTACCTCTCCTCCCTGAGCAGTCTCAACTCCACGGGCATCTTCTCAGACTCCCTCACAACCCTCCTCAAGGCTGCTTACCACACAGCCTCTGACAGTACAAGTACCATATTCATTGTTTCATTGTTTACATGTTTATGAATGATCTCCCTTGCTCAGACAGACCATTGAGAGCAGAGATGTTTGTCTGACTTATGACTATCTACCCAGTTCCTGGCACAAGGTAGACGCCCAAACAAACAAAAGAATTGGTAACTTCTGATAGTGCTATGAGGTTTTGTTTGTTTGCTTTTTTTTTTTTTTTTTTTTAAGATGGAGTCTAGCTCTGTCACCCAGGCTGGAGTGCAATGGGACAATCTCGGCTCACTGCAACCTCCACCTCTCGCGTTCAAGCGATTCTCCTACCTCAGCTTCCTGAGTAAGTGGGATTACAAGCATGCACCACAACGCCCAACTAATTTTCTATATTTAGTAGAGATGGGTTTCTCCATGTTTGTCACGCTGGTCTAGAACTCCCGACCTCAGGTGATCCAACCGCCTCGCCCTCCCAAAGTGCTGGGATTACAGGCATGAGACACCGCGCAGCCTGTTTGCTTTCTTTTAACTACCTACCACCCGACCCACAGGAAATCACAATGTGATCACCATCACACTGCAATGAGGCCACAGTGATGCCTCTAGCAGGCCTGGGAAAGCAGGGGTTAACTTTGATTTAGTTCTTTCCAAAGTCCTGAGAGGGGAGACTTTAGAAACCCGCCAAAACATCAATATCAAAATAATTCTTTTACAAAACCCATTTAATACTGGCAATAATTTACAGAGCCCTAAATTAGGTACCTGGGAATGACAGGGCCTCAAGGGGATTTCAAGGGACCAGGACAGATGCCCCTAAAGAGCTATAATAGAATTACTGCGTAATAAAAAGTGTTGCATCATATTGAAGAGAAAGTATTTCAAAATGAGAATAAAAGATTTGCAGAGCTTTCTGAAAACAGCCTTTGCTGGTCCACCTTGTTCTCAAATCCCCGCTAAGGTGGTGACCATTCTCATTCTCTCTCTCTCTCTCTCTCTCTCTCTCTCTCTCTGCATGACTCAGAGTAAAAAAAATCATTTCACCTCAGTCGTCAAAAACCTCAATTTCTTCAACTCTGGAAAGGCCAGCTTTAATGCATGCCAAGCACAATATTGGAGCTCAAAAACCAAGAGAGCTCCACGTGGCCACTCCAAACAGGACAGATTATCTGCCAGTATAATCGCCGGTTACAGAAACCCACAGCTTAACCCCTGCCTCACTTACAGCTGGCCTCGATTGTGGAAAGGCTTGAGTGTCAGCAAGAACACCCTGAACCTGAATGCTCCCCGGAGTCTGATTCGTTAGTGAAAATACTCCATTAAAACTCTGTACGGAATCGCTGATGATCCACATGTGGAGAAAGCAGCTCCACATTCAGGAGACCCACCTATTTCGTTTTTTTCTAACTCTGCAGCATTAAAGGGCTAAGACGTACTAATTCCACACCGATGCAGTAACTGGTAGGGGACAATATTTTCAGATATCATAGGTTTAAACAGGCAAGAGCTAAAAGACAGGTCCGAGAAAGTTTATTTGCAAAGAGAGACAGGAAGGCTCGTGCCTACCCAGGCAGTCGTGCTAGCACCGAGCCAGAGTTGGGTCAGGAAACTCAGGAAGCAAGGCTGAGTTTTCCCTTCGTCCAGACCTGCGCCCGGCAATTTGTAAATCAGGCTTCGAGGCATTATCAAAGGTACAGAAGAGCCCACGCTCGACTTCCAGATGCCAAGCACAACCTGTTTGGGCTGTTTAACCCGAGTTTTGTTCAGGGCATGGCAAAGGAGACGTTGCCCAAACCCACTTTTTTTTCTTGCGTTCATCCGACAGGCAGAGTCGAGAGGGCAGCCGAGCTCGGCGCTACCCACCAGTGCCCAATGCAGGAGGCGACACGCCCCTGGAGCAGTCGAGATCCTCCGCCCGAGCCCTGCACGCCCCGCCCCACGCGGAGTCCCGGAGGCCGGGCGGGAAGACCCGGGGATAGCCTCTCGGGCTTCCCCCTGCCCCTTCCCGCCCGCCCAGGGAACAAGATTTCCCGGACCTCTGAGCGCCGCGGACTCAGCCCGAGCGACCCACTGGGCCCTACGTTCGGCCGCGGAGCTGGGAACGCACCGGGCAGGTCCTCGACGCCTGGACTCCTGGCCCGGTTCTACGATGCGACCACCCCCGCGCGGCGCCCGGCCTTGCTCACCTGGCCCGCACAGCACTGAGCAGACATCGCGGCTGCCAACACCGAGGGCGCGCTCGCCGGCTCCCAGCGCCGCACCGACCCTCCTGGCTGCCTAGCGCCTCGCGCTTCCACGCCGAGCTGCCTCGGCCGAGCGCCTATGCGCCGAGGCCTGGGTAAAAACAACCGCCGCCAAGCCCCGCCCCGCCGCCGGCCCCGCCCCGCCCGCCCCCAGCCCCGCCCCGCGCCCGCCCCCTCCCGGGCGCCCGGCGACGGAGCAGGCTCGCCTCGGGCTCGCACTTCCGCTGGCGTCAGGCGGGTGGGATGCCGCGATCACTTCCCGGTTGGGGCGCCGAGCTCCGGAGTCGCTCGCCAGCCCTCGGGCCCCACGCTCCGGGTCTGATGCGCGGTCTGGCCACGTTCAGGCCCGCGCCAAGGGGGGCACAGCACCCCTCGGCCTTCGGAGCCGGAGAAAGAGCTGACTCCAAAAGGTTGGAGTCTTAGTAAGCGATTCCTGTCTGTCCTGCACCGACCAGACCGCAGGATGCTGGTCTGCGCTCTGCCGCCCGCCAACTGGGACATCCCACCCACGATATCCTTGTTTCTGAAATCCCTTTCCCTCCCTCATCTGCCAAGTAAACCTTCAACTTTTGGGCTCTCCCCTCCGCCCAGGCTTCCTAGAATCCCCCGGCCCTTGACTGTTCTGCTCTCGATTCTGCCCTGACGGCACTTTGTGACAGATCCATTGAGAGCCCTTTCCGTCCTTCCCTGAATATCGTTATGTTTTCCAGCTTCTCCTCCCGCGCTGGCCCAAGGACTCATTTTCCATCCCTGCTTCCTCATTAAAAAGAGGTGCCCGAGGCCGGGCGCGGTGGCTCAAGCCTGTAATCCCAGCACTTTGGGAGGCCGAGGCGGGTGGATCACGAGGTCAAGAGATCGAGACCATCCTGGTCAACATGGTGAAACCCCGTC